GGGCCTGGCATGGTGACTCAGTGGCTTAATTCGCACCTTGCAAATGCCAGGATCCCATATGGGCACTGGTTTGTGTCTTGGCGGCTCCGCTTCCCATCCAGCTCCCAGCTTATGGCCTGAGAAAGCAGTGTAGGATGGCCTAGAGCCTTGGGACTCTGCACTGGTGTAGAGAGACCCAGAAGAAGCTTCTGGCTTCAGATCAGCTCAGCTCTGGTCATTGCAGCCACTTGGGGAGTGAACCAGTGGATAGAGGATCTTTCTGTATCTCCTTCTCTCCGTAAATCCAGTCTGTCTTTCCAATAGAAGCAAATAAATAAATATTCAAGTTCTTGTCCAAATTTAAGTGTCAGGAATAACTTCCTGCCTGGCTAGATCTAGAAGATTGATCTGTCTCTTAGCTCTGATTCCATTGTTGTCTTCATTCACGGCATAAGAGTCAACTTCAGTAGTGTTAGTCATGTCAAGAATCAAGTTTGGATTTCATGGGAAGAAAGGAGAGAGAAAGACCTTGTTCTGATAATTCCAGAAAAGTCTCAGCATGCAATGTAATTGGTCTCAGTTTGGGTGACAGGTGTACTTTCAAACCAATCACTGTAGCCATGAGACTTCATATCCATATTGATCATACTGGATCATGTGATCCCGGATGAATCCAACCTGAATGATTGATGGGGAAGAGAACCTGTGAAGAGGAATCAGGTACAGTAAATGAGGGACGAATCCTCCAGAGAGCCATTTGAACATGTTTCCAGCCGTGGTGAGAGACATGGTGTGTGTCCCTGAGAACGTTCTAGAGGAAAGTGGTCTGCCCAGCTTGGGGAACATGGCATGCCAACAAGGACTAGCCACAAGGGCTGTCATCCTCATAGCTTCTCTTTCCCATCCTGGCTTCTGAGACAGCCCTGCCTTTCTCCTGGGTCCGGCTCAAGCTCAGTGAACATGCTATGGTTGTTGGAAAAGGCAGCAGAGGAACTGGAAGGAGGAGTGGGGAGGGCAAATGACAGCCAGGCCTTCTGAGCCATCCCTGGGGCCAAGAGCCCACGTGGCAGAGTCATGTGGGTTCCCCCGCCCCCACTTCCCAAGCAGCCAGATTATGAGACATTTGCAAAGATGTTCACCCCACATAAAAAGTGTGCCATTCGATAATTATGTAAATTAGCTGGCAATTAGATAATGTCATTCACTTTCCCTCTCCCGCTTCGTTCCCACACAACAGATAAATGTTTGGAATGTCTGCACCACCCTAGGTCCTCCACACGGACTTGGAGGGCAAACCACCTGTGTTCCTGGCTGCCTCTGCTCGCCAGGGGCTCTAGGGAGGGTGGCAGTCAGCTGATTCAGAGAGAGGCCTCCATGGCTCCCATTTCTTGTGTCTGGCATGCCCCAGTAGAAGGTTAGAGAAAGTGAAAGGAGACATGCTAGGGAAAGCTGGCTGGAAGCATGTGATCTTTAGTGGAAAGTCATTTCCTTCCTTGGCCATCTTGCCACTTTGCCAGAGGCTGTGGGAATGGTCTGAATCCAAGAAAGAGAAGGAAAGGCTTTAGGGGATAGCTAGTCCAGATAAACCCAGTTGTGCTGCTTTCACTCCTGAACTCAGATTCTGCCTTGCTCCTGGTGGGGAAAGAAGACATGGTTTTTCTCACTCAGCCTTCTGACCCTCCAGTGTGTGAGACAGGGGCATTCTAGTGTCTCCAGTATTGTTCTGGGCTGCAGTGGAAGGACAGAGTCTGAACAGAGAGTAACCAGATGGTATACAGTGGCTACGCAAAGCAGGCTGGGTAAATTCCCATGGTCCTCTCTCACAGGGGAGTAATCCCAGAAAGCACTGCTCTTGGTTCATAGGCTTCCCCAGACCAAGTATTCACTGCTTTCTTTGTCCTTGGAGAAATCTGAGGTGGCTGTCTAGAGAAGTGTGGGGGCTCAGCCCTGCTGTCACTGTGTGATGTGGGGTCCCACAGAGGTCTGTGATTCACGGAGTGGCTCCTCAGCTCCTTTTTCCCCTGTTCATTATTTTCTATAGATCTTTCCCAAGCTGCTCGTCTCTGACCAGGCTGTATAGTAAAGCAGCTGACCCACACCTCGGCCCCAGTAGCTCTTCATCAAGTAGACTGCTTCTAGAACTAGGGTTCATCATTGTCCCTAAACACACTTGTCCCCTACTAGTTTGGGATACCCTTGAAGGTGAGAATGACTTCTTACTCTGCTTTGATTCAGTAGAACCTCCTGAAATGAATCAGAGCTCAGGAACAGAAGGGTCTTGTTTCTGCTCTGGCATTTTGCCTTTTGACTGGGTTGGCAAACCTGACCATATGCAGCGATTGTGTTCCCAAAGACTGTCCCATCTGACGATCTGTTCTCCATTACCTCCGGCTTCATGCCTTTCGCTTAGTCCACCCTAGTGGTCCTGACCTTCACATATCTCAGCCTGCTTCTGCTGTTAAGACTTTGACATTGACTGTTACTGCTGGAACATTCGTCTGAGATATGTACATGGCTCATCCTCTGACTTTGTTTCAAGTCTCTCATTGAACATCATCTTCTCAAAGACACTGATTTGTGTGGTTGCCTATTTCAGTAGTGTACATATTCAGCTTAAGTTGCTTTCATCCTACCAAAATGAAGTGAACCAGCTCAAAAACAAATAAATAAACAAACAAACAACTCTTGAAAGCTCAGCAGTTGATCCTCATGAGCTTGTCTGAGTTGGCACCAGTCCCCGTTCTGTGTCAAAAAGAAAAAAGTTAAGTATCTTTTATGGTAGTACCCAACTTACACTTGGACAAAACCTTTTGTAGAACAAAGCCTTTCCTTGCGGTAGATTTAAGTGTCTCTTGTTAGCTCTGTTACTTCAGTGGGCACGTGCTTATGTGTAGGGCAAAGCATCTTCCTCTTTCAAGCTGGGGTCATTAGTAGCTTTGCTGATGTGATCATCATGAAAGCCACAGATGGTAATGTTCTCATAGAGTTCACGGTGAGTTAACAGTGTGGCCAGTGCCTTGTGCAACTTGTGGTTACACTAGGTTCCGGAACAGAGTCTGCCCTGGAAACTTGACTGGGTGAGGTGCATTCCTGGTATAGTACACATAATGTTCTCTAAACAATGATCACCAAAAATAATCTTTCAGACCTATTGAACGGTTACCCTTTCTGTACCTTTCATAACATTTTTAGGATTTGTATTTTTCTGTTACCCTCTAAAGACATACACACATTCACACATACACAGATACATACTAACAACCCCTCTTATCCCAACCCTTTCCATTCCAGAAATGACAGAAAGGAACCTGGTATTTATTGCTCATCTACTCTATGTGAAGTTTCCTATTAGGATGCCCTGTAACAGATCTCATTTAATCTTTTCCTCAGTCTTAGCGAGAGACCACTGCTTTGTTTTACTATACAAGTGAGGAATTTTGGTCACAGTTCCACGTATCAGAATTAGGATTCAAACTCATTCTTTTTCTTGTCCTACCTTCAAAATACAGGAACTTTTTTTTTTAAATGTTCAGTAAGAAATGGGGGTTATTTCACTCCTGGTGATTTTTACTATTTTACATATATTTCTTTAAAAAAATTAGGTTGGGAATCTGTCTTAGGCAATGAGTTCACAAACCAAGAAGAGAAACCCTAAACAAAACAAAACAAAACAAAACAAAAAGGCAATCCAAGTTTTAATAGGCAATGAGAGTAGAAATCATGTGTAGGTAGCTGACTACACAAAATGTTGGCCTGATTTTAAAAATAAATTTTGGGGAGTGGATATTTGGTGCGAGTTGGGAGTTGAGATATCAGTTGGGACACCATGTTGTGTGTTGGAGTCCCTGGGGCTTATTCCCAGCTCTTCCTGCTGACTCCCCCTTCCTGTTGATGTAGATGCTGAGAGCTGGTAGAGGCCCTGAGTGACTGGGCTCTAGTAACCCATGTGGGAGATCTGGACCAAGCTCTTGGCACTCAACTTGGCCCCAGCCCATGGTGGGACTAGGAAACAAGCAGCAAAGGGTGAGCCTATGGATTTGGGGAGTGAATCAGTGGATGCAAAGATTGTCTCTATCTACCTCTCAAAATAAATAAGATTTTTAAGAATCTTGATCTATGACCCTAGGGTAAAAACGTGACTGTAAGAATTTTCACTTTGTCTGCATTGGAAAACCTAAATGTGCCATTCATTGCTGGGCCTGTGGTCCTACCATGGCTCCAGAAGAATCCAGGGGCCCTACCTGCTGTAGGAAGCACTTAGGGCTGAATGAATCACCACCAGAGCCTGGCTTCAAGTCAGCCCCATCACTATTTGTGAAATAGGAAGGAGTTCTTCTTGAACCCTTGGCCTTGATCTAACTCTCCTTCTCTCCTTTCTCTGCAGGCACTTGCTCTGGAGTCCTGGAAGGCCAGTGATGGTCAGGACTGCCTTTGGCCGGCACCATGAAGCCTGAATCAGTGTCCGCCCTGCGCTGGGCCCCGCTCAGCCTGAGCTCTCAACTCCTCACTGCCCTGCTCCCTGTGACCTACTGCTGCTAGGAGAAACAACTTCACGACAGGTCTTCTCCTCCTGGCTCACCTTACAGCTTGCTGCTCGTCCGTCACGGCACCCCCATCCCTGACCTTGGCCGGGGGTGTCTAGGGGTCAGTTGGGAATAGGGCATTGTTGAAGCCTTCCTCCTACTCTCATGCACTTCGCCTCTTCGAGTCAAGGCCTCTAGTTCCACATGGATAGCTGAGATCTTCTCTTGCAGAAAGGAACTTCCCTCCTCCCTCCCACTCCTCTCTCCCCAGCTGACTTTCCTTTTCTTCTGCTGCTTTCTCCCTGCACCTGTTACTCCTGTGCTCACCTGGGGCTTATTATTCGCTTTTCTCTTTCACCTGCCCAGGACTTGAGTGTGTGCCTCCTTGCTCTCGTGGGTGCTCTGTCGGCCTCTTCTGTTTTCTCTCTCTCCCTTCTACCAAAGGGAGATTCACCTTTGAGGGCTGTTCCCTGGCTTGCCCTCTCCACCCTGTCCACCATGAGCTTCACGCTCCACCCAGTTTTCTTCACCCTGAAGCTGAGTATCATGCTGGGCTCCCTGCTGGGGCTGTGCCTGGGCCTGGAGTTCATGGGCCTTCCCAACCAATGGGCCCGCTACCTCCGCTGGGATGCCAGCACACGCAGCGACCTGAGCTTCCAGTTCAAGACCAACGTCTCCACTGGGCTGCTCCTCTACCTGGACGATGGCGGTGTCTGTGACTTTCTTTGCCTATCTCTGGTGGACGGCCGTGTGCAGCTCCGCCTCAGCATGGACTGCGCTGAGACCACCGTGCTGTCCAACAAACAGGTGAACGATAGTAGCTGGCACTTCCTCATGGTGAGCCGTGACCGCCTGCGCACTGTGCTGGTGTTGGATGGTGAGGGCCGGTCAGGGGAGCTGCAGGCCCAGCGGCCCCACATGGATGTCGTCAGTGACTTGTTCCTCGGCGGAGTCCCTGCTGATATAAGGTCTTCTGCCCTGACCCTTGATGGAGTACAGGCCATGCCCGGCTTCAAGGGATTAATCCTGGATCTCAAGTATGGCAACTCGGAGCCTCGGCTGCTGGGGAGCCAAGGTGTCCATGTGGATGCCGAGGGACCCTGCGGTGAGCGTCCTTGTGAAAATGGTGGGATCTGCTTCCTCCTGGATGGCCACCCTACCTGTGACTGTTCTACCACTGGTTATGGCGGCAAGCTCTGCTCAGAAGGTAAGACCCTCTCCCCTCCCTCTGTCTTGCTTGAGGCTCAGCTGCTGGCTTGGGGAAGGCCGAGGCTCCTGATAGAAACCAGCTCTTTTTGGAAGTGCATCGTGAGCTGCAAGCCAGCCGTGTGTGAGATAATTGGGTCCCTCTCCCTGTGGAGGGTGGTGGAAATCCTTTACTTGCTCTCCATGGAAAACCCATCAGAGCTCAGCAGGAAGGGAATGGTGGCTACTCAACCATGGGCTCTGTACTCAACTCAGAGGGTGAAATTGAATAGACAGAGCCCCAGTGTGGCTGCCTCCACTGAGGCAGTGTTTAGCACAGGACAAGGAATTCAAACTTTGGCTAAGATGCTTTGCCTGTCCCTTCTGTCTTCTTGAGCCTTGGACCCTGGGCCATGGATGGAAAACAGCCCATTGCTTCCTCCTCATAATCCCCAGGGTAAGAGATGCCAGTAAAAGGACAACGAGGTGATGAGCTGTTTGCCTTCAGATGTGGCTCCCTTTCCTGCCCCCTCTGTGTACTGGGAACAGGCACAGAGACTGGCCTCAGCCTCATTCAGCTAAAGCCCCTCCAGACTGGTGATAATCTGTTTAGCCTGGAGAACCCCCTCAAGCTCAACTACAATTTCACAAAGGAGGGAGGAGATGAGTTCATGCACAATGGTCTCACTTTTTTCAAAAAATTGTGTTTGGGACTGGATCTGAGAGAAGTGCTGCAGGCTTAAACTTGACAAATACTGACAAGGTGAATTCCTGGAGTCCTGGACTCAGCAAAGGTTTAGGTTTGGATTGGAGGAGCTGCTGGACTGGTGAAGTATGTAAGAACTGGTAACATGGATATGTATATCGGGGGCTCAGGGTGTCACAGGCAAGAGAGTTCGGTCTCCTCCCGTCCTTTTTGGGGTTAAGCTCTGGGTTCCTGTAGATGTTTTCTTTGACCATTAAACACTGACCCCTTGCTGGAGTTGGTGGCTGCACTGTGATTCTTAGACTTGGAATCACATTAGAATTGCCTGGGTTGGAGGTTGGAGGAGGGAGCAGATGTAGAGACTTTGAGGCTGTGTTTCTGGTTCATTCTATCAAACTTGGGGGTGGGAGCTAAGCCCCTCCAGCTCTTTAAAGCTTACTGCATGGGCCTAGAGGCAATCAAGTTTAAGAGCCAACTGGTGCAGGGTTGAGGGAGGTCTCAGATGTGGGGGCAGGTGAATGTCTGTAGCGGACTCCAAGTGTCTCTTCACTCAGGTAAGGCCTCCCTGCCTGGGGATTTATAATGAAAAACCATGGCTACAGGTGTTTCTTAAATATTTCCAGAACAGCTCAATCCCTAAAGCAGTCTGTGGTTGATGTGCCCGTCAGCTACTAGCTGTGATTTAAAAATCTTCCGTTCAAAAATTTTAAGAAGTATGGTTCACAGGTGGAAAGGGTAGAGGCTTGGAGACTTTGGGGGTTTTGTTGGAGGCCTCAAGGGTCATGCCTGGGCTGCTGTCGCGGTGTGGGGGGGTGCTACTCATGGGTTTCCCCTTCTCTCCTCTGTTGCTTTGGCTATCATCTCTCCCTTTCTGTAGGTGGACTGTTGGATGGGGAGAAGGCAGCCTTCCTGTGTATCCTGTATGTCTCTGGTTTCAGTTCCCCCACCAAACCCATGGGGAAAGGGAGTAGAGTAGAGGAGTAGAGGCAACCACAGCCCACAAAACCACTCTGCGAGTGTGGTTACTGAAATGCCTCTCACAGCAGGTGCCTTCTGGAGCCGACTGCTATTCCAAAGCTGCTGGGCTTGGGAGAAAGTTCTGCCTGAAGACGCTGACATGATTACTTGTTTTTTTTTCATTTGCCCAAAGAATCTGTTCTGTTCTCAGATCTTGCATTGAAGACTGGCATTCTTCCTTTCTAGGGACCAGGGTGTTTGCAAGTGTGTTGTTAACTGGCTGATTATCCCTGATTGCATTTTTTGTGTTTAAAAAGAACTCATTTCCTCTGGGCAGGTTTGGATCAGCATTTTTCCACAGGAAGAATCTCTATACCGTCTGTGTATACAATTTGTGTTTTTTTTCCTTTCGCTCTCTTGGTGTGTTTTCCAGTCTCCAGTGGAATTTCTTCAGAGCAGATTGTATGTGGTTGCTTGCTAAGCAGCTAAATGTGACATGCATATTTGGATAATTGTGCTTTCTTCAAGGTTCACCATCTCCTGGCCGTACATTGATATCTTTGCCTGTAGAAGGCAAACGCACAGCCTAACCCCTGCCTTCTACTGAAAGAAAGGCAGTAAATAAATGGTTGTTAATAGAAACATTTGCTTGGGTTATAACAGGAAAGTGACAAGATTGAGAGAGGCTAGATGAAGAGTTGGGGGTAAAAAAAATGACGATTCAATCTGAGTTGATCCCTGTAATTGTTATCATGTCTACTCAAATGTGCATTACACCGATAGAAAACACCTGTTGCCTCCACACATGGTTAATGTTTAGAGACTAAGTAACTCACCTATAAAATGTTCACGGGAAAAACTTATAGCAGCTGCCAAGCGTTAAGTAGAGAGCTTCATAAAACCAAGTCAAAGAACCTTAACACACACTAGCCCATTTTCCCAAAGATAACATGGTGAGGCATTTGGTGGGTAGAGAGAATGTGTGCCCACCCCACCTCTTCCACCTCTCTGAGGGTGCTTCTTGCTGAACTGAAACCAGAGCACTTGTTGCCAGTAGTCGGCCCTGGGCATCACACACCTGACTCCCATTTGTAGGATGGGTCCTGCCGTTTGATGGTGTGAAGTCTTGCACCTGGTGTAGAAGAGTCCTCTGCGCTGCTTGCTTTTGCACTTCCAAGGGCAGCAGGAATCATGCAGGAGCTGGCTGCTGCAGATGGTTGCAGCTGAGCCTGTTAGCTTCAAGGCTACTTGCCATGTTGTTCTTTGCTTGGTTTGTTTGATTACCTTGCCTCTGTGGCTCCAAAATGAAACAGGAAGAGCACATAGAGAGACACATCTCTTCATGTGCTCGGACTCTGGATTCCCCAATGGGTGTGTTTCTTAGCTTAGACCCAGACGACACGGCTGGGAGTTGCTGTGGGAAAGTCAGACCTTGAAGCCTAGTGTCTGATGAAGACGTCTCCTCAGCTCCGTTGGGATGACTGTTTCCTCTTGGTTCATTGGGAGTGTGTCATTACTTTGGAATGGGTTGCAACTTCATTGTTTAAAACTGTCTTAGTTATGAATGTGTATACGTTGAATTTCCCAACAAGCTTATGGTTGTGAAGAATTGATTGGCTCCCAAGGCATGTGAAATTCAGCCACAGTTTCTCTTAAAATTCGTGCAGCCTGAAGTCAGCCTGCTGCAGGTAGTTGGGGTGGGACACAATGGAGCAGGCTGCATGGGTTGCTGACTTCTGTATCTTGGTGTGGGCTTCCCTGTGCCCTGTACCCTTTGTGTGGCCACATTTTCAGGTTAATCCAGGGAGGAAGCAGGAGCTCCTACAGGTCCACTGTCTGCTGTCTTTTCCTGCTGACATGAGCAGGTGCCCAGACCAGAAGGTGCTTGTCTTGAGTCTCAGCTGTTGCGATTCCACAGTGAGGAAGAGCAGTGGGTGTTGGTGGTGGTGACCAGAGTCTTACTCAAAGCTCACTGCTGTGTGGTGCTCACCGCTGCCCTTCCCCCATCCCTGCAGCAGCAGAGCGCCGACATCCCACTCAGGTCGGTTTGATGAATGGCTCCACACCACTGCATGGCCTTCATATGCCTTCCTGAAAGAGAATTTCAATTACTTTTCTTTTTATTGAGAATTTTGTGACTCTTCCTTCACCTCTCATAATCAGAACTAGAAGGGAATGATAGAGGGGCCACTGCTCACTGCTTGCAGCTGAGCTGTGGAGACACTGGATGCCACCCTTCAGGTACCAGTGATTGCCCCAGTTGGATCTTCCTGATGAGGGCATTGGTGTGAAATGCCCACATCATCTCTCCATCTTGCTGCCTGGTGCCTGCCCTGTGAGTTGTGACATGACATTGCTCTTAATGTGTGTGTGCTGAATGACTTGGGGCAGGAATGGGCACAGTCTGGAGGTGGTGGTGATCAGAGAGGAAAGGGGACTTCCTCTCTCAATATTTCCTGGCATGCACAAGGAAGCATGGAAGCAAGGCCCTCCACGTACATAAAAGACCAAAGGAGGGACTGCTGCTCCTGATAGTTCCTTCCCCACCTAGCATCAGGCTTTCAAGGGGACCAGCCCAGCCAGCCAGCAGGGGCTGTCGCTAAACGGAGTCTGAATAGGGGTCTGATTGCTCCTTTTCCCTCCTCTCCTCCTGATTACCAAGTGAGATTTCCTGGGTATGCTGTATGCTAAATGGCAGAACAGCCGCCTGCTACTTGCTCCAATTATCCCTCTTTTAACTGCCTGGGAAGTGCAATTTTTTTAATCCCCCCTTCCCATAATATCTCTCCCTCCTTTGAAGCAATTGGAGCCCGCCCGCTTGTTCCCCTATCAAGGGGCGAGGGCAGCCTTCTGCCTTTGCAGAGTCTGCACAGCAGCTGCAGTCTGCACAGAGGGGTGGGCAGCAGATCATGGTTTGGTTCAAATGCAGCGGGGGTGAGGAGTGGCAGGCATTTTGCCAGGAGTCTTGGAGTGGCACGTGAGCTTGCATTTGCATTTGGTAATGACAAACCAGGGTCCAGCCGCAGGGGCTAATTGTTTTGCAGCCCCCTATCTCCCTTTGCAGGCTGCCCTGGAAAGATGGTTTCCAGTTCCCGGGGCAGCTGCCCATCATCTGGGTTGTCTCTATCACAGGACAGGAGTGGTGAGGGCATCAGCTGCTCACTGTGCATGGGGGATGGGATCATGTGTCCTGCCTCAGCTCCTTTTACCACCTAGCTGTGAGATCTCTCAAGTGGACGTGCAGAGAGGAGGCCTCGGGACAGGTGTCTTTCTTTGGACAAAATAAAAATGATAATAGTGATGATGATGATGATCATGTGCCTGACATTGTCAATGCCTTTCTATTTGTCACCTCATCT